TTCATATGTCTGAAATACAAAAAAGTCAGAGTAGATAATTCTCTGTTAATGTTCTGATTGAGATCAGAGGTGCTTTAGTAATTGTAGTATGATGCAACAGGTACATGTGGCCAGGATGAGCTGTGGTTTTGTGCAGATGGGAGGTTTACCTGGAAGAGGGGTGAATCCCCTTCTGCACAGGCTGATAGATCAGGTACTATCATCTTGTGCAGTTCGGAGTTTGCACCACGCTTCATACCCTGTAAATCTGGACCTCTGAGTGCTCTTGATGTATGATGTAGAGCAAGCTGATACAAATGTTTCTGTTAATTTCTAAGTTGAGGTTTACCAAGATCTTCCTTCTAGTTTACTTTTAGTTTGATTGTTACGTTAGCAAAAGACTTGCTTGTAGTGGCTTGCTAGAAGCAAGAGAGCTTGCAGTTGCAGAGAGCAAGCAGTTTAAACATGAAAACATCCGGGACTTTACTTCTCTTTCTCCCCTTTCCTTCCCCTGAATTCTGAATCAAAGCCATTGCAGATGAGAGCTGTTCAGGAAGACAGTCTCCTAAAGCTGTCAGACTCCCTCTGTCTTGCATAGCTATTTTGATTACCTTGCAGAATATGACAGCTGTTACAAATGCTCGTGTGTATTGCACATGCTTGAAAATGTTGGGAGTTATGAATATAAAAATTGCCTGGAAGAAATTTAAGTTCAGAACAGGAGGTAATAGAGGAAGTGTGGTGATGTGCCTTTTCTAGCACTGTGTGTGAATGCTTTGCTTCCATGGACTGACTATACCAAGGAATTTGCCTTGCAGTAATTCAAGAAGGGGAAAATTCAGGACAAAGATGTTTGTTTAATCAAGTGTGGTGTATTTGCAGGCAGATCGATGTGTGGAAGTTACCTATTACTCAGAAAGGCTATAGAGGCTGTCACTTTTACTTGATTGAGAAGGACTGTGATTTGGTGGCCAGAATAGTTTTGGGGGCATTTTAAGAATAAGCTGTAAGAGCAGTTTATATATTTGGTGTTGTAAGTTTAATTATAGTGTATAATATGTGAGAATACTACTCCAGTGGCAAGCTGAGTGGCTAAAGGATGCTGAATAAGCAGAGTATATACTTTGTATCTACTTTGTGGGGTTAGTTCTTTGGTGCTTCCTCAGAGGTAATGTGTCTGGGCATCGGGTCATCTTGCTTTTGCAAAGCTACCTTAGGTAAACATGGAAAGCGATAGCTTTGAGCCTTGGGGAAGCAGTGGATCAAGTTAACTCTTGCAATTTTAGTACCTTTGGCTTTGTTATAACTCTAATGGAATGTGTCAGAAACAAACCTAGCTAGGGTAGTAAGTGTTAATTGAGCTCTTTTCAGTAGCAATCTTAAGTTGAATGCTACTTTTCTGAGGTGTCAGAAAAAGTGGTGGATTCTGTTTTGTGTGGCTTTTTCCTGTTGTATTGGTTTTTATTTTTTAAATACCTGATTAATATGCAGAATACTAAGTGGCTGTTCTAATATACCCTTTCAACTCTAAACATTTGTTACTGCTGCACCTTTATTGTTTAAAATCACATTTTATATTAAGAAACATAGTTTTTTGTACTGATTTCCAGGCATTTTATTTAACACTGACATAAACTGAACATACAGCAACGGTGTATATGAGGTACTAGTAAGGTAGTGTTTTCCACTAAAAAAAAAATAGAGAAATACCAGAATCCCTAACTAAAATCCCATGTGGTTAGCTGGAACTGTTTGAGATGATAGTGAGCTCCAGGGAGAGCAGTGGTTTTTACAGCCTGCTTTTTTCCAGCACCCTGTAAAACTTCTCAGATTTTAGAGATTGTTCTTCTGCAATGGCGTAATCAAATAGCCACATAGTAGCTGATGCATAATGAATGAACCTATTGTAATGGACCAGAAAGATCTTTAAACTATGTAGTCTGTCTTTCTAGACAATGTGGATATTAACGTGCTTCTGTGGAATTCAGCTTTAGCATTGTTTGGAAATCATCTCTGAGATACCATTATTTGACTGACCTTTGTTGTTGCTGTTTTCCAACATCTTAACCTTGACATGTTTCGATGTTGTTGAATGCTTATTTCTAGAAGTTGCTGAGTTTCTAGTTCAAATTCTTCTGTACTTTCCAACAAGAGCAAGCTGTTGATGTGCAAAAGAAAGCCGATTGCAAGACTTAAGAAGAATAATTTGAATTTCATGCAGTTCTGTTCAAATTGAGAAGTTTGTGAGCCATATATATAAACTAAGAAACTTGACCTTTGTTATGCATGTTTTCTGTCATCCTTGGCCATAGCTGGGGAGAATGGTTGACTCTGAAGATAACCTAAGAGAGAATAATTAAGAAACTGTCCAGAGGGGCTTAGTTTTTCTGTCACAGGAAGGCCAAAGTCATCATGACCATGAACTTTGTTACTTTCCCCAGCAACACACACTTCAGATTTGTTTCTGCATTATATTGTCATTTATGCTTTCAATAACAATAGCTATAGCTGCTTTCCTTGTTAAATCTGCATTAAAATTATCTCTCCTGTGAAGCCACCGTATGCTTTGCCTATGGCATTGGTTTTGCTTAGCTATCCAACTGTTTATCTAAAAGATTCCTTTGAGCTGGAAGTAGGCTAATCCTGTGAAGCATATGAAATTGGCAGTTGATATTGGGGTTTCTAATGCTTCTGGTAGGCATTGTAATTCAAGTAGTGAAAACCTAATTGTGTGCATAAACAGGCTCAAAGACTTCCAAAACTTGCTTGTGTAGCATAGTACTGTAGCTCTGGACAGGGTTCTAGGTACAACTGTAATATTCATTATTGGCACTGTAAAATTACTGATCTGGCGGGTGTTGTAGGATCACAGGCTGGTTTGGGTTGGGAGGGACCTTAAAGCTCATCTAGTTCCAACCCCCTGCCACGGGTAGGGACACCTTCCACTAGAGCAGGTTGCTCCAAACCCCATCCAACCTGGCCTTGAACACTGCCAGGGATGGGGCAGCCATGGCTTCTCTGGGCAACCTGTGCCAGCGCCTCAGCACCCTCATAGTGGAGAACTTCTTCTTAATGTCTAATCTAAATCTCACATAAATTTCTTAGGTAAGATTTTTTTGGGCTGTGGTTTTATCACATGTAGGAATAATGTTGAAGTAATATTTCAAAGCCTCTTTGCCTGGCTCTGTCCTTCTGATCCTCTCTTTTCAAGACCAGAAAAAGTATTTTAATTATGTGCTTCTAAAGGATAAACATTACTGCTAGTGTGTTACTTCATGGTTGAATAAATTTGTCTGATACACAGAATCTAAGCATGCCTGACTTGCTTGGTTCTGGGGTAGCTTGCAAAACAGTTTAGCAGTGGGGTAAAGTGGTATTTTGCAGAGAGACTCTGGTAATGAAAAGACAAACAGAGAATTATCTTTAGGACCATTCTCCTGGCTGTAGTGAATAATTAATAATGCTTTAGGTGATGTAAGCAGAGCTGTGCTACATTTGGGAAGAACATTCTGGTTGTGGTATACTCCTTGTTTTTTCCGGTTCTCTGGCAGCTGTTTGCTAGTTTTCCCAATTCTGCTAGTGCTTATGTCCTGAAATAGTCACCCTGAGCCAAGTGGAATTATCTGTGAGCCATGGTGTTTACAGGAGGGGATTGACTTTAGTGTATAATAAAAACACACTGGAGCTAGAAGCAGTCTTTACATTTTGCTTGTAGAAGAAAACAATTATTTGCATAAGGAATGATGGGTGAAATCAGCGTAGACCCACATTAGATTTGATACTGGGAGAAGCCAAGTAAAGCCTCCCGCTGCCTTCTGACTCTGCTTTCAGCTTGATGTCAAAGATCTAGAAACCTTTGGTCTGTAAAGAAGGTCTCAGAGCTGTAAAGGTACAGGTACAAAGATACAGGTTCCCACTTTTTGACTGAAGCAGTGAATAGTGGGAAAATATTGAGGTGTCTTTTGAGTTATGTTGATGCTTTATGCTTAGCAGGAGCTGGGTGAACTAGTAAGCATGCCTTTCTGTTGTTGAAGCCTAAAGACATGTTGTTGTTGAAACCTAAAGACATGTTGTTGTTGAAACCTAAAAACTGGTCTGCAAAGACATTGGTTCTACCTACAGTATTTGCCTGCCTTAAAATCCTTACCTTAAGAGAGCAGGGGCTGAATTTTACCTGTTATATTTGTACCCAGTAAGTTAGAAAGCAATTTGAAATACTGAAACACTTAACACCCCTTTAACATTTTCTGTTACTTTGGTTTCTCCTTGAAACACTTCCAAGCCCCATCTGTATGTTGCCCCTTATATACTTGGAAGTTAAAGGGTACAGAAGCTCTGCAGATTTCAGTGACTAACACTTAATGTGGGATGATGTGTTGGTATGCATTAAAAATAACATCCTTATAGTTCTTCAGACTTTTTAAGATTTAAAATTGTATTTATGCGGTATCATGGAGGTTTTTAAGAATGGATCATTATTTTTAACTAAAGGTGTAGAGTCTTCGTTATTTGAATGAAAACTTCTCTGCCTTACAGAAAGATGCAGACAGGTTTGGGGAGCAAAGCTTACTTGAATAAATACTTTTCTCATAATGTTATTTGGAGAAAGTTAAGAATAAAATAATTGAGTGAAATCTTATTTCCAAATATGCCAAAGTACAAATATTTATAGTTTTGTTTTGGAAAGACTAAATTTGGTTAGGATTAGTCAAGTTTGTAATATAGTAGTGTAGTGTGTCGTTTGGCACGGTTTCATATTAAAGTCTGTAATGGTTTGTTGATTACTACCTAGGTGTCTCTAGTTTTATTTTGGGGGCTTGTGAAAATCTGTCTGTAGGCTTTTCCTGAGATACTGTCCAAAGACAGCACATTCTGCTTAGGCTGCATCCAAAGTTATCATATATATATTGTAAAAGTAAATAAATTACTCCCCTCTACACCTTTTTATGCTTTTAGTCTGTTTTGCTGCACTGTCTAAAATCCAAGTAGCTAAATTCCAAACTATTTTATCTGCCTTTCAGCATACATCTGTGGATGGGTACACTGAACCCCATGTCCAGCCTATCAAGTCAAGTAGCAGACAAAACATCCCCAGATGTAGAAACTCCATTACATCTACCAATGAAGAACATCCTCACATTGGAAATTATCGCTTACTGAAAACAATAGGAAAAGGAAATTTTGCCAAAGTGAAACTGGCCAGGCATGTGCTTACTGGAAGAGAGGTAAGCGTTCATATTGCTAAATCTATTGATAGATAGGTAGATCAGTCTTTGTTACTGAAGTATATTGATGGACAGGTCTTGTGTTTGGAGGACCTGGTTTTGCAGTGGACAAGATAGCATTGTTCTGTCCAAACACTGACAAGTATAACACTGATTCCTTGGTATTACCATCTTGTGGCAAAGCTCTGAGCTCCTGCTGATAAATCCTCATAGGTGAGGCGATTTTGCTTGACGTGATGCATAAAAGCAGACATATATGTATGTCTTACAGGTATATCTATGATTTTGCTTGCGAAGGTGCAATATATTTTTGTGCAAACGTTTTTCTGAGTTTAATAATTACTTTTGTTTTGTTTTGTTTTTTTCCCCAAGGTTGCTGTGAAAATAATAGATAAAACACAGCTAAATCCTACTAGTCTGCAAAAGGTAAGAATATGCCGTAACATCTGAAATTCTATGAACAGTTGAACTGGGATCTTTTGGGTATTTAACAAAAATATTTGGTCCATTTATCTTGCTAAACAAACATCTTTGTGTACATATGACCTTGGGAGACAGTATTTGCTATAAGGTGCAAGTTGTCTAAGGGCAGTTACTCTGTGTGTTTCATATCTAAGCATTGCTTCTTTGTTCTTCCTTCCTCCTTCAGCTTTGTTCATTGCTGACAGTAAAATTTGTATCTAATTAGGTACACAAGTAGTTTGTCTAACTAATAAATCAAGACATAATGCTGTAAAAGAGTTTTTTCTTTGATTTTTCTGTAATATAGTAATTGTGTATAGAATTGCCAGAATGACTGAACATAATCAGAACATTCTTGCTTGTTTGTGCCTGTAGACAGAAATTCAGAAGTCCTTCATAACCGTTGTGATAAGTGTTTTAACAAAACCCTGGGGTTTTCCATGTGCTTTGGGTTGCTAATATTTGAGCTAATGGAAAGGGACCCACAGAAGCAGTACATGACAGAGCATATTGGGGAAATCATGTGCTGCTCACATAGCTTGTTTCCTGCCTAGCTTGGTATATTTACACTAGGAGAGCTGTATGAGTTTGTCTCATTGTTGAGCAATGAGAGGGTTAAAATGTTCTGGAAAACGAAACATTAAAAACTTAACTTCTGGCATAATTGCTGTAATGACAAGTAAGTTGTATGTCACACAGTAATATTCAATAATAAATCATTCCAGGTATAAATGAAACTTTCATAGCCTATAAAAGATGCTGTCGCACTACACAAAATACTTTTGTGGTAGGATATTGCTGCTGTTATTTGGTTGTTGAGTGGGAAGCTGATAGCAAGAGAAACATTTTTAGGTACAGTTAGAAGCAGCTTATAGCAGAACTAAGTTAAATTTAGTGATTTAACCACAATTCCATTCTTCAGTAACTTCTAAAAATATTTATCCCATCTTCTGTTTACACTAGAAAGTGTGAAGTTTTCCTTTGTAGCATCTTGATTGAAATTGATTGTAGAAAAAAAGTAGGTTTTGTTTTGAAGCTCTAAATGTCTTCAGCTTTGCAGTTTTCTGAGAATTTTGAGTGAGTATTGATTCCCTGAAAGTTTTTAAGTAAGGTTAAGCACAGTTTTTGCACCGTCACTCAAGCAACTGTTGTTTTTTAAAGCAAATAAGGGTGGGAGGGTGGTTCATCAGCATGGTTAGATTTGCTTCTGTTTCAGCCCTTCAATCACTATTGTTTATTATAAATCAAACAAGACAAATATGACATTATCTTGGGCACAGGGTTGTTCACAAAACCATCCCCTTTCCTTTCGCTGTAGTATAAAGGATAGCAAGAGCAAGTAATTGCTACTGACCTAATTAAGTAAATGATGTGGGGCATCGTAGCTTCTCATGTACCATTCTTTTTTGTAAACACAAAAATAATTAAGCACATACTTAGGTTGCTGAAAGTATTATACAAGCTGGGTCTGTAGTTAGTCATGATATGAAAGCAGAGCAAATCTTCAGTTTGTTCTTAGCCATTCTCCAGTGTTCCTTATGGCATATAGGATGATGTCATGGTTTAGCCCCAGATGACAATTAAGCACCTCGCAGCTGTTCACTCACTCCCTCCAGCAGGATGGGGGGAGAGAATCAGAAGAGTAAAAGTGGGAACTCATGGGTTGAGATAAAGAGAGTTTAGTAGGTAAAGCAAAACAAGGAATTCATTCACTGTTTCATATTGGCAGGCAGGTATTGCACCAACTCCAGGAAAGCAGGGCTGTATCACGCTTCATGGTTACTTGGGAAGCCAAACACCATCACTCTAAATGTCCTCCTTTCCTTTTTCTTCCCCCAGCTTTATATGCTGAGAATGATGCCATATGGTCTGGGATATCCTTTGGGTCAGTTGGGGTCAGCTGTCCCGGCTGTGTCCCTTCCAGCTCCTTGTTCACCTCCAGCCCACTCACTGGTGGGGTGGTGTGAGAGGCCTTGATTCTGTGTAAGCACTGCTCAGCAGCAACTAAAAGATCCCTGTGTTATCAACACAGTTTTCAGCACAAATCCAAAACACAGCACCGTGCCAGCTACTGTGAAGAAAGCTAACTGTCCCAGCCAAAACTAGCACATATGGACAGGGTACTTCACAGACACGGTTACTCTAATTTAAACCATTAAATGTTAGGAGATGATTGCACAAGTAAGCTGACCTTATGAATTTGTAATTCCACATCCTTGTGCCTGCAGTATGTTAGTCTGAAGTTACTCTTGCTTCAGAACTTCTACCTTCTTAAATAGATAAGCAATGTTGAATTAAAGGCACTGCCTTTTGTTTTCAGTTTGTTCAATATGTGGTTCCCATCTTACTGGGTTAGCACCTGTTTAGAAGACAAAGCTGGCTTTTTTATGAACTTGCTGTCTTGATAGTAACATATTGTACTGACTTAGCTTTTCCACTGTCATGATTGTAATTTGTTCCCAAATGTAAGTATTTGGGTTTCATTATAACTAGAGTTTATATCAAAATGGCTTTTCTGTTTTCTGCATGTCTGCTACATCTTCTTGTACAGGCTCAACTCAGGGAGGTTTCTGAAATAGCCTTCTGTTGCTCTTCTGCAAACTGCTAATGGAGCAGAAGGGGCTTTTTTTTCTTCTTAATAGGCTTGATTAGCAAATGGCGGTTCAGATTTTCCCTTTTTAAGGGTCAGCATGCTTCTTTTTATTATTTAAACAGATCTAAAGCCTAAAACTTAGGTTATTTCTTCCCTTAACAACAGAAGATGGGAAACAATTTCAGTACATTACCTACTGAAAGCTATGCTTTTTTACAACATCCATTCTCAGTAATGATGTAGAAACTAGAGAAGCATTCCAGCACATCTTTCAAAGCAAGAAAAAGCCTTGGTTAACTGAAGGGTTTTTTTTGTTTGAGTGTAGCGACTTAAAATAGTACATCTTCAGTGTAGATGACAGCCTGACAGCAAGTAGAAGTGTTAGCAATGGAAGATCTTTGTACTTGCTGCAGCTTGCCCTGAAAAATGAAACTGGAAAAGCAGGATTCAAGTTTTCAAGCATTGAGCCTTTTCCATACATACAAGTTCTACGAATTGAGTATGATGCTGGCTGTCCTCTATTACGAGTGAAGCTATTGACACTACAACCCTTTTACAACAGGGAGATGCTTGTCCAGGAGCTTTTCTGAATGGTAGCACTTCGTTAAGAATGAAGAGCAGCCCTGCAGATGTGGGGTGGATTATGGGGCAGGAAGTCAGGGAGCACTTACACCTTCTGAGAGAGCAGTACCGTGCTGCTCAAGAAAGGAGAGGTATTCATGAAACCTGAATTATATTCTTGTATAATCTGCAGCTTGCCTCATAATGGAAGCAGAACTAAGCTCTCTGATCTGTCTAGATTTCTATAACATTAACAAACTTGGCTTTGTAGGAAAGAACTATGGTCTTGTTGCTTTAATATCTCTATATGCAAAGGAATAGATGTATCCTGGGTGTTACTGAAGGGTGTAGTGGCTATTGTTTAAAGGTATCTCTATTTGTTAAATACATAATTATTGACATAAATGGTGTTAATGACCAACATGCTTCTGCAAAGGGAAGGGGGAGGGCTGGGGATTTATCCCAAAGTAGTGCTTCACAGAATGCAAAGTCTGAATGTAAAAACAATGTGCTGAAATACTGGAGTACTGTTAATGCTTTTATTCAAGTGTTATCCATTTGTCAGAGATTTTCTAGATTGTTTCTCTCATGTATTTATAGTGGTCTATATTTTAATTCTGCTTATGAGAGAAAAGGAACATTGGCATCTTCTTAATTTGTATAAATGCACATTTACACTGGACCAAGTAAAATCCTGAATATACACCAAGACTCCAGAGCACAGTTCATTTGCCCCATTTCCATTCCACTCCGCCTCTGCTGTTTTGAACATCTGTATTGAAAAAAGGGGTCCCTGCTCTTTATTCTTTGAGAGCCCCTTACACATCCCCTTGGACCACATGGGCCATCAACTACATAAGGTATAATGGGGCTTGTTTATGGTCTGTATGCAGTGCTATTCCATTATTTGTTTTCAGCCTTTCAAACAATTTCTTTCTTCCTGGGTTGGAAGTATCTGTCATGCCAAGCAGCTTTAACAAAGCTGCTTGATTTAGTTACATCACAGTATATTGGAATATGTAAGTTACAGCTGCCTAATTTACAAGATGCCTACACCTGAGTGACTTCTGAAAAAGGTCTGAAAACATCAGTTTCCAGGTGTATAACTGCTGAAACTTGTCAGAAGCTGATAAAAACTGCAAAATACAAACTCTCGGAGTAATATGGATCTCCCCAGGAAGAAGACAGCCTTGTGTGCTGTAGTTTCAGTAGTGAGCAGGCAGTTGGGAGAGGGGTTTTCCAGGGAATATAACCACTTAAAGTTTTTAATGTTTTCTCAGAGCAAGCCATTTAGTTAGCAGGTACCTGCAGGTAGGTTCCAAGATTTCAACAATTCTTTCAGTTCTTACTCTGCTGATTTATCTTTTTCCCTGCTCTCATGTTTGCAGGGAGGCTCTTGCCATCCTGACTGTAAAATAAACCAGCCAGTTTCCCTTCATCCTATGCTTGACGCGATTTGCGTGGATGAGCATCACCTAAGATAACTTAATCTGCTTCAGCCTTGCCCAGTTCTTGCCCTAAGCATGCAAATGCATTTCAACCAAGATTAAAAGTGCCTGTAAGTCAAAATCCCCAAACAAACTAAGAAGCCCACCACAGAGCCACTAATCAGCAAGAAAATATTCAATTTGACCTTGTGACTTTGAGTTCCTCTAGAATTTGCCTTGGAATAGCTGCTTTCTTTCAAAAGGTTGAGACTAACGATTCCCTGTGATCTACTCATGGTGGCTCATACCTGGACTATATACTGCTTGTATATGAACAAACGCTTTAGTTTTCTGAAAAATGCCTGTTCAACAGGAAACATAATACAAGATGTTAAAAAACATACTGGTGTGAATGTGGATAAACCTAAGCCCACACTTTGTATCTTGGTGATGTCTTTTATTCAGAGCCAGGGCAACCAGCATTTCACTTCTTATAACAAAGTATCTGCATGAGGGTAGAGGTCTTCAGGAAAATAGACTTTTTGTCCTTTTCCTAGTAGGCTTTTTCCTTCATGTAAAAATAAAAATAAAAAATTACACACTATGTGGAACAGAATTCATGCCACTGAAATAAATTCAAATCTTAAACCAATTAGTCAACTTTGGAATCCTGTAAGAGTACTGAATAGAACAATTCCCCTCCCGCTTCTATTTTTACAATTACTGCGTGCTTCCCATTACATGTAAAATTATTTCTTTGATCTTTTTTCTAAATTGGAAATTATTTTATTTATAGCAGTCTGTATTTTAATTCTGCTTGTGAAGGCATGTTTTCATTGCTGCAACTTTTATACCAGCATTAATACTGTTAAGTTATGAAATATCTTTTGACATTCTGGCAGGAATTGTGGTTTTCCATATACCTGCTTAGAGGCTCTTCTGAAGCTGTACCCTTGCTTGATTTAGGTTTGTTAGTTTCTGACTAATTGATACTGATTTAGCTGGGAAATGTGATCTTGTGCAGCAAATTCAAAACCCAAAAAATGCACAGAGAAAAGGCTGGCAGGATGTATTTTCATGGGAATAACTGACTTCATGAGGAAACAAGAATAATTGCTAAAGTTTAATTCTGGTATTTTAATTCATAGTATTATGTACCCATGTGTTAACATTTTGAACACAAGCAAACTGCATCATACTGATCATGTTGTCAGAGAAATGTTTTTATAGTCCTTGCTTCCTTCTAAAATTGTTTCAATGGCAACTGTAAAGCGAGTGAATTGTAACTAGCTTGAAATAATTAAATAATGTCAATATCAAACTGTAATAATATTGATCAGAAGCTGAATTTCAAAAAGATGTTTCTCTGTAGAATAAATGCAGAATTTTACAAATGTTATGACTAAATAGCTTTGTCTAAGCAAAAGAATTTCAATTTCTCTTAACTTGTAGCCTCAGCCATCATAAAATAGAAACTGTGAAGTGCTGCTCTTTGAGGAGGTGTCCAGTCTGTGGCTTGCCTCATAGTACCCTTTTTGCAAAGGTAGCATCTGAACAAATGGGACTCATTTTGAAAATGGAGGCAGAAATGTCCTCTGAGACAGAGAAGCAAAACAACAGCACGCTTCTGCACTGAGCCAAGTTGCTCTGTAAGGAGGTCTGTACTGCTAAGACATCTCCAAAACGTCTTGAGTGTTACGCTGAAGCCAGTGAGCTTTTTTTCAACATCCTACTGTAATCCAATGCAGTACTAAGCATGCAGCACAGTAAATAGAATTGGCAGTGGGGTTATGCTGTTCACTTAAAGTGAAACAATGCAAACTTACCAGTATTGACAGCCTTAAAGTACAGAGTAATGGAATTGTGTAGTCATTTTGGATTCCTTCTTTCTTTTGACCCCTTAGGTTAGTCTTTCTTCACCTCTTATTTAATCAGTAAACCCATGAATGCTAGAAATTTAAGAGCTAAGACCTCATTTCTGGTTAAAAAAAGTCATCAACTCACTGTTGCCTAAAGTGTATACAGGTAGGGATGTAAGTTTGTCCTGTTGTTTTCAGTTATGTGACTCAAGATTCTAAAGCAGACTGAGCAATCATAAACCTTTAGGCCTTGCCAGGGGGAGAGGGGATATGGGACATTGCTGTTTATGACCCAGTGTAAAATCTGGTAGTTGAGAGAAAAGAACTCGCCTGTTTCACCTCTGTGGATCAGCAGGACTGGGGAAAGTCAGGATTCATGGTATCTAATTCTATTTCAATATCTGTGTGTTCAACTTTTCTGTAGTTTCAACTATACCTTGTATTTGCACCCACTCTTACGTATGTATTCAAAGTAGTTGGGTGAGCTGGCCAGTCACCAAAGAAAACAGAACAAAGAGATAACAAAAATTATTTTATTAATAATTATTATTATCTAATTATTACATTATTATTAAATACAAATTATTATATTGTGTGAATAATCTGTTGGTTTTGGTCAGTGCTGAAACTCCAGAAGGGGCTATAAAACTTACCTGTGTTTGTTTATATAAAGCTTAAAATTTAGTCTGGTTTTGATATGTAGTTGGTAGTGGTTATTGTCATATAATGTGTGAGATATAGATTATGTTTTCTGGAGTTCACTGTGCTATCTTTATCCATATTTTATGCTAATGCTAGTTTCTGTGGTTTATGCTGCTCCTTTTTGGCAGCTAACACTGCATATCTTGTGTAACTTCTCTCTAATAAACGCACTCTTAAGAAAATTGTCTTGCTTCCTTGACAGCTGTTTCGAGAAGTACGAATAATGAAGATACTGAATCATCCCAATATTGGTAGGTGCCCTGCATTTCTGCAAACTTTTTTCTGTTGTGCTGTTTACATTTTACTCTCTTTGGCTTTATTTGAATGTACTTTACTGCTATGCTGTTAAACTTTTTTGAGATAATAGGATAGTGAGCATTCAGTAAATGCTTCATTGTCTCACCTCCTGTATTCACTCTGCTTGAAACAAGAGTGGTGGTCTGAGGAGAGAAACTGCTCAGTCCAGGAAAGCCTTAACATAGGAGATGCTGAGTGCTCACACTGGTCTGTTGAGGACCCCAGCTCCCATTTTCTGTTGAAATTATTCTTGAGGCCAAAAAGCATGATTTTTTTTAGGTGAAAGTAGCAAAACTCCATTAGTTCAGTCTAGGAGAGACTCCTGCTGACTAATATTTCCATAAAATTAGAATTACAAAGTATGTAATTTTCCCTTTCTGCTTTAGTTCTTTCACGTACCCCACAGCTTCAGGGCCCTACTTTGTGATGACAATTCTTCTGGCTGAGGAGGGCTGGACAGTCTTGTTCCAGAGACAGTTAATGGTCCTGAATCGGCCAGAGGGCTTGTTGCATACAAGGTATGGATGAGGTGTACAAGTTACTACATGCTAGGCACTCCCTCTCATCCCTTAAATTGTTTGTTGCTTTTCCAGCATTCTTAGCTTCTGCTGGTTTTTGTTTTCTTGTGGGGGGTGGTGGGGGTGTGTTTGTTTTAAATGAATGGTTACTATTACAATTTGAGGAAAGTCTTTCAGGCCTAATATTTCTGGTACCCGCTTGGTCAGAATCTCAAATTTCTAACTGGGAGCAGTTTACTAGCGAAACAGAGAAGGTTTGTATGATCTTAAAAGACGTCCGTGTCAAATTGAGCACTAATTTCAGCATGAACTCGTTTGTACAGTGTGTTTAAACTTCTCAGAAAATTGTGAATTAATATGCTTTGTTATCAACTGTGATTTAGAAATTAATTTTGCTTCCCCCCCTCCCCCGGCCCAAGAATGCTAACCTAAAGGATATAAAGTTTTCCTGTGGTTTAGTGTTATCACTGGCCATAAATTATGCTCACTTCATAATTTTTTATTTGTGCTGTGCTTTTGCTCCCTGCTGCAATCTCTCTCTCATTCATTTTTCTTGCAGTAAAATTATTTGAAGTTATTGAAACTGAAAAGACATTATATTTGGTAATGGAATATGCCAGTGGGGGTAAGTGGATTCTTAATTCTGCTTTAAGGATAAACTGAAATATGGAAAGCCGTGTGGGTTGCATGCCTAGGAATGATATAAGAACTTCATGGTTAATGGGTTATTCTAATCTGGCCTTCACAGCACTCCTAACAGACCTCTCAGGGCAGACTTTCTTGCTTGCATCACATTCTCTAAAGTAACCTGTTAGGTTTGTGTTTAAGGGTAGTCACTGTTCTGAGGCTTCTGCTAGAATTTCAAGAGATATCCTGGTGCTGAATATGGCAAAAACTTGACTCTATCTGCTGTATTTAGGCAAGCGCTGGTGCCTTGTATGATCTTGAAAACATGTGCCAAAGCACTTGGGGAGGCAGGTCCAGGGATAGGAATAAGGAACACAGGAAGGAGAGCAGCAGGATTGCAAAGAGTGAGAGGGGTAATGGGTGCCTGCTTGAGAAGCTGCTTAGCAGCTGAATGGGAATGTTTGAATGTGGGAAGGGAATCGAGCATAGTGTGGCCAGCTAGGAAAGGCTGCTCAACAGACAGTGCAAAGATGAGGATCTGAAAGGCATTTGAGCAGCTTTGTTAGAGAACAGGAAGGGAAAACCAGAAGTTATATAGGTAATGTTAAGTGAAACCACTGGAGATAGGCAAAACAAATCTGATACATAAGAAGCTACCTATTTTTCAGTGTCTTATGTGCATTATGAATAGTTTTTATTATTTAAAGTCTCTGGTTTGTTTCACAGTGGTTCTTTAAGTAAAGTTGTTTTTTTAACTTTGAAGAAGCCTTAGTATGAAGGGTTGCATTTTATATTTCTTAACTATTGATGTCTGGAAAGTGAAATTCAGTGAAAACAGTCAAAGGGAATTTTTTCCTGGCTGCTTCTATTTCCGTTCCCTTCAAGAAGCAGGTGTGTGGGATGTTGTTTTCAAGCATGATTTGATTGTGCATGGCAGTCAAAAATAAAACCTGTACAGTAGAACTGATGTTTTGTCCATGTTGTGATCAGGAGAAGTGTTTGACTACCTAGTTGCACATGGAAGAATGAAAGAGAAAGAGGCTCGTGCAAAATTCAGGCAGGTATGAAATTAAAATTCACTGTTTCTTTTGTTTCTATTTATGGTATTTTTGGGTAGACATGAATGTGAGCATACTTCTTTTACTTTAAAAGAATATTCATTGTTGTGATAATGTTTATTAAAGCTGGAGTGGAAAAAAGTCCCCAAAGAGAAAAGTATCTGCTTCCTACGTACTGTCTAAAAATAGTAAGACTGTTTTGCATTCTTTTTTAGTGGATGTTCCTAAAGCCCCATTTTTTGTTGTGAGTCATTTGAGGGTTGTGATCCTTTTCTGAATATGTTAGAATTTAACAGATGTTCTATCTAGAGATGTTGATCTGATGAAACGTATTGCTGTGTCATGTCATACCATTTTCCATGAAGAGTAGTCTGTAACAGGTTTTTATACTGTTATTACAAGCTTTCTCATCTTTTTTACCTTGGTTTTGGTGATTTTTGTTGTGAAAAGCTTTGATTAGGTAAAATTTGGAATTTTTCAGAATGAAGGTGTATAATTAACATGTAAAGAAACTGCTTTTAATTTCCTGTTTCAGACTTGGGTTTTGTCATATATATGTGAAAGATACATATAGACATGTTGAATGAGCTGTTCTGTTAGGGATGAATTGCAGAGCTATGCTGCAGGTATTTCAGAAGATAAAATCTGGGTTGGGGGAGTGGAATAATTTCCTTTTATAGTTACTGCTACTGGGAGATCTGCATTTAAAATAGATGTTTCTCCTATTACCTCAAAGAATACGTATTAAACTTTTTTTAATAAGAAAAAGAGCTGCTTTTAGGGACTTTTTAGGTTTAGTGTTTGAGCTTTAATGAAACTTGCATGAACATTTTCTAAAATTAAAGGCTTTATATATTATCTTATGTTCTGCTGAATCATATCAGAAGCCAAATTTATATACCAGATTATATACAAATGCTGAGATGGAAATTAAGTATTTCACTGATCATCTTGGTGTTTCAGATTGTATCTGCTGTGCAGTACTGTCATCAGAAGTGCATAGTTCATCGTGATCTTAAGGTAGGCTGTTACTTACTTTTCATTTTGCTGGTTGACAGTCTATTTTCATTCTATATACTTGTCCTTGCCACTGTGAATGCCTCAAACATGTGAATGAAGTAAATATCACTTATTCTCTATTTTCTGAAGCACAAAAATAATGTAGCTTGCCTGTTGGAACAGGGGAGAGACAAGAATAGAACGTGTTACTTTCATTCCAGTTTTAGCTTTAGGGAAAAGACATGCTCTCCAAAGAATTATACCTGCTGGCATGCAAATATGTACACACTGAAGCTGCAGAAGTTCAGTGATACCAGTCAGCGCTGAAATATTTTCAATTAAAATATATTGTATAAACATATAAGCATATATAAACCAATCTTGTTGTAGTGATTCATAAGGAATATGTTAGGGTTTTAATCCATTTGAACTTCTGTTTTATGCTCTCGTGTTTAATCAGACAGAAAAATCTAAGGTAAACAGAAATTAGTTGAGCTGCTTTTTTTTTTTTATGCTTTCTAATATTCTATCTGGATAAACATCCTAGACCATGTTAAAGAGTTCAGCAATTACAGGTACAACCTAAGCCTTCAGTCTGAAGTTGTCTTCCTGCCAAGTTTAGATATCACGGGACTTGGACACAGTATCTTCACCTGTTTAAAAGTTGGCTAGTGCTCTTTGTATATCTTTGTATGCTTACAAAGAAAACACTGATTTAGTTTCTTTTTTACTGGTGTATCTAAAATGTTGAATAAGCTGAACCTGAATAATTCTTAAAGGTTTGTTTTATCAGTATCTTTTGTCTTAAGGGGTTTTTTTTTACTAGTTTCTTTTGTATTAACTTCCTTATAATACACTGCAGCATGCTGTTGACCTCTTTCTTACAAATCTGTTCCCTAATACCTGTCAATCTGCCAGCTTCTGCATGTGCATATGGTGCTGGATAATGCATCCTTTTCTGCTGAGTCCTCCCTGCCCCAGGACCATTGTCATCTGATGGTGGAGGTGCCGAGCCAGAACTCTAAAGTCAGAATGCAAGGAAGGAAAAGGCTGGATCTCATTGAAATCTTGATATAAAAAAATTCCTCCCTGTCTTGCATGGTGGTTTGGAGCCTGTGAATGTTTTGTCAGGCTCCCTGGGGCTTACAGTAGTCACTGTTGAGCTTTCCAGAAGGCTGCACCCTTTTCCAGATGGGACCCATTGGCTTGGCTGGACAAGCCGCTTTCAGTGGTTGACTCAGCCCTATAGTTTGCTGGGAGTAGGAAGCCAGCCATCTCCTTGTGCTTATCTGGCACTGGCTTGCTCAGTGCAGCTATATTATTATTGAGTCCTACTTCGTTAACCCCCGTGGTTAGTTAGCATTCTACATCTCACTCTTTCTCCCAAAACCCATCACAGCCTCCACCTAACATTCATTTCTTAGTTCCATAGGATGCATACAGCACACTGCATTGCTCACAGGACTGTCCAAAACTGCTTTGTGGGGTTTATACAGGATCCCTTTCACCATCTGTCACAAGTACTCTGCTGCTGATCTTCCTATTTGCGAGACGGGCAGGCAGGCTTCAAAATTATTTCTTTGCCTTTCTCTCTCTGACTTCCCTTTGATGGAGTTATGCTAGACTCATTTCAAAAGTTCAGTGTTAGGTGTGATTGAGAGCCAGTCAATGAAAAATACATTCCCCAAAGAAGAGATAAATGCATGGCTTTGAGGAGGTGTTCTCACTTTGTCTTTTCTTTTCAAACATTATGTGTCATCTCTGTCTCACTTATAACTCTTCTAACGGAGCTGCAGAGGAGGAAGAAGCAAGTTTAGAGTTGCATCTGAATTTTCATCTGTTTCTGTTGACTTTCTTTCTCTGTAATACCAGCACGCTGACCAATAGACATTGTTAGCACTGCAAGGCAGAGATTTTTGCTAAGTCTTTTTGGCTTTAATAACAGAAAGGATAAACTCTGTCAAATCTAAGTTACTAAGCTAGGAAGACTTACAAAAAAAATGTGCAAGTTTGTCCAGAAGAGGGGGGAGTGCAAGGCCTATGGATGCTTAAACCATCTCCTTTTAATTTTCTGTGTTTATAAACAGCTTGCATAGAAAGGGCTATAACCAATTCCAGCTTTGCTCATCCTGTGATGCACAAACTTTTTTTCAGTGACTTAATACTTTTTGCTCTGAACGTGTAACCAACAAGAGCATAGTCTTTCTATTTGGCATGTTAAGAAAGGATGGGTTTTGATGTTTTTGAAGTGAGGAACCTAAAAGCATAGGGTACTTGGGTAGCAGAGCACTGTTGAACTAGAAGGACTATTGTAATCGCAGAGCAGCTGCGCTGACAGTAATGTTTTCACCACAAGGAAAATGAAGTCTTTGTTCAGTAATGTAGAAGGATGTAAAATCTGGAAAATAGATACCTCTGTGAGTCTGTCTGCAGGCACATCAGCTGGAACCAGCTGAGATTACAGGTCAGGAATTGGGAAAATAAAATATTTTCTGGGGTAGTTAATTTATATAAGCAAGCTGTATTTTACTCCTGGTGAAGCCTAAATTCTGTTGTGCGGCTTTGGCTTGGTATACTGGTAATTGTTTCCTGTTCTGTTCACTGAGTGCAAGTGAAATTACTAAACACAAAACCAACAAACAAACCAACCCAAACAAAATCATGTTTACCCTAACAAATTGATTGCTGTTTCTCTTCATCCTGAACTTTTCTGAGCATAGCAGTTGATGAGAGATGTTTGTGTTTGCTATAAAACTGATGTTTGGCAATTAAGTGAATACTCTGCTCTGGCTGATGTCTGTCCTCCTGTTGAAAAAGGATTCCTGCACTGTGCAGTGCTGCTAATGTGAAGATCAGGCACTGGGTCCCAGTTAGATGAGCAAACATTGCCCAGATCTGCTGCACTTGTTGTTCAGCATCCTTGTATTTTGAGAATGCTCTGTATGGGGTGTTTTTCAGTAATGTATTCTTATTTATCTAATCTTGCTCTTTTAATCTTCTGACCTAGCTGTGATACTAAGTGTAAGGTATTTTTTATTGACTCTTCAGGTTCCTGAGTACTTGCATCTATGTATAGGTGATGCATTGCACTTACATGATGATTGCTGCACAGGCATGAATATTCTTAGCTGTATAAAGCATGCATTTTTTTCATACGCTATGTAATTCTTGAGTGTTAAACACCTTTGGTGGTGGCATTACTAAAGAAAGCACCAGTAATAAAAGGGAGAGAATTTTTTGGTACAGAATGCTGAGATACAGTGCATAGCTTGAAGTATGTCATCGTGTGAGCAGAACAGATCTTCTTTTGAAGCCTTAAATCCCTTCTAGCATTTACCCCACTGAGATGGTAAATGATGTCTGGAATTAGATTTACGCTTCTTAGCGTCAGAAGTTGTCATGAACCTGTCAAAAGCTGAAACTGCTGTCCTGAGATGTCTGGATATTTCAGTCTAAACCTGAACTGAGTTGGTTCTTCCAGAGAAGAAAATCTTCACAGCTCATTCACTAGCTGACTTTCCAGTCTCTTTAGCTGCTTTAACAGTAATATTTCTTTGAGTAAACATAGTTGATTTCCAATCTTTGTAATGTATTCAAGGGAGATTTGTTTCTTCTGCAAGAAAGAAAAAGATGAAGTATTTAAAAACAAATATGTGCATTTATTGATAAATACTACTCTGTAATATATTGATCTTATTCTGATACATGAATTGTATTTTCCTCTCATTTTTCTCTTAGGCAGAAAACCTTCTACTTGATGCAGACATGAACATTAAAATTGCAGACTTTGGTTTTAGTAATGAATTTACAGTTGGTAATAAACTGGACACATTTTGTGGAAGCCCACCTTATGCAGCTCCAGAACTTTTCCAAGGAAAGAAATATGATGGTCCTGAAGTGGATGTGTGGAGCCTTGGGGTGATTTTGTACACACTAGTAAGCGGATCGTTGCCATTTGATGGTCAGAATCTAAAGGTACAGTTGCAGTATGAAAGCTTGGCTTTCAGTCTCCTTAAATCTTATGTGTGATTAGTAGGCTCACCTTTTAAAACTCTATTTTAAAGGAACTGAGGGAGCGAGTGCTGAGGGGGAAGTACCGCATCCCATTCTATATGTCCACAGACTGTGAAAATCTACTTAAGAAGCTACTAGTACTGAATCCAATAAAACGAGGCAGCTTGGAAGTAAGTAATCTCATCTTGGGGGAAAAAAAAAGGGGGCTTAGATTAAGAAAATAAAATACAGTAATTGCTTACGACTGTTTTTCACAATAGGTACTTTCTTTGCATTTTAAGGACCCAAAAGTTTTGTTTAAAAAAGAGTGAGAGAGGAAATGTCCCCAAAACATCTTGAAAATACAAAATGTTAATTGATGAAAGTCTAACCTTAATTGCAACTGACTAAAGACTATAACTGAAGAGTATTTCAAAATGCAAACCGCTCCCACTTCTTTCGGTCAGGTAATGGAGGTAGTTCAAAATGGGGGCAAGGACAAGAGTGTAAATATCTTATTCTTGGGAGTTTTCCAGAAGACCAAAACCAGCAGCAGGCACTTCCATCAGCCATTTTCATTTAATTTACTATATTCAGCATGATTTTTTAAAGGGATAGATAAAAGAGTAACTGTGATTGAAAACTATGTGGGTGTTTTTTGTTTGTTTTAGTGCCATAATACAGACAGACACTTAAGAATACAATGAATGATAAGCCAGTAATTTCTGTGCAGCCTTTTCTTTCCCTCTTCTGGTACTTCTGTTTCTGAGTAGCCAGAAAATTAACATGTATTAATACTGTGTCCCTCAGCTAAAATCTGTTTTGAGGATTTCTACCGAGTTATGATTTTAGTGGTGGTGGTAGTAAATTAGGCTTTGTAATATGGCTAAAAGGTTCAGTGTTTTTAAGGGGCTCTTTCATTCAAGATTGCTATACTGACCTGCACTTACTGGATGATTCTGGAGCTGCTGTTTAGCAAATATTTTGTGTAGTGTTCACTCTAAATGCTGTCCTGTTCTGTTTTGTGAATTGTTTAACCAAGATAGACTCCTGAAAATACCATCTACTTAGCACAGAGATGAAAGTAGGGTGGAAGATAAATAGAATGGTTTTAAAGTAGTACTTACGTGAGTTAATCACCAGTGACTTCATTTCATCTTTCTCTGCCTACTTGTGCAGCAGTGGATGGCATTTCAGAGAATAAATCTGACATGGATGCTACCTGTGTTAAGGTAGCAAACGTTTAGTGAGCTGTGTCTGCATACAACTTAATCTCAAGGTGATGCTGGTTTGTGACTTCTTATAAATAACTGTAGCTTTAGTAAAACCTGTGCTGAAGAGAATAGTGAATGGTGGCTTCTTCTTTATTGATACTCAATTCTTATGTATTTACTAGTGTCTAGAGGACATAATGGTAAGAGCGTAGTGACTTGAAGATGGTGAAAGATTGTGCTTTTCTGTGTCGTGTTTTAAGGTTTAGGAAAAACATTTTCCTTTTGTTGAACTTTCCTCTGGATTTTCAGCAGTTTCTCTTGAGATCTAATTTTACTTTCATTCTAGATACTGTAGTGTTATCCAGTTCTCCTAAAATTCCTTCCTGTCCCTAGAGAGATGTGTTGGATAGCAGTCTTGCTGGAACAGCATAGTCTGATTATATGGAAGAGAGCAAGAAAATGTTATTGTGTGATAGGGGATCTCGAGCTGTGGATCAGTACTAAAACGCTGATGATAACGGGTATTGATCAGTTTGCTAATCTGAGGGAGAGAGACATCACAAATGCTCTTAAAATATGAATGTTCCTGAAACCACATGTATGTTGATTTAGAAAGCCATGGTTTGTACTTTGGAAAGAAATTACTATTTCTTCTGTTTCTAAAAATACATATTTATAATGTAAGTACATATTTATTCACAGATTCTAAAAGCGGAAAGACAGTCTCATCTTAGGTGGGGAGGGTTTTTTGTCTGTGCTTTGTCTTTTAATTATTTGTTCAGTCCCAGCCATCCACCCGCTCAGTTCCCATGCGTGTTTTTCCCTCACCATTCAATAGGATGTTTGTCAGTGACATGAGCATCAAAGCTGAGGCTGACACAGGATCGGCACCATATGGGTTAGGCTTAGCACTTTTCCTCTGGTAAGGACCAGGCAAATGTTTATTGAAAGGGTTCATCTAGACATTTTCATGGTTGCAGCAGAGAGAAAACATTTTAGAAGCAAGAGAATGTTGTTGTAAAATCTTCACAGGAAGAGATGGAAAAAATGCATTGTCAGAAAATGTGGGTTCTCCCTTAACTATTAGGATTTCAAAGAATTCCTCCTCCTCCCAGTCTTCAGTTCTTTCAAAGCAACACTGTGCAATTCCCACAGAGCAGATTTATGCTTACAAAGAGTAATAAATAATTTTGAGACAGACATGTCTTGAGCCAGATTATATTTAAATTGTTTTCCTGAAAGTTGAGGGAAACCTCATCAGTAATACCTAATTGGTTGAAAACTCAGTTTGGGTTTGTCTTTAAGAAATACAGTTTGGGTCAGATCTTCACCTTGACCAAAACTGCTGCTCTTGAATCAGCTGAGTGAAAGCACAGCAGAACTTGCACAGATTTAATACTGATCCTGGAACTGGATCATTTGTGTCACTTCAAAATGCTTGAGTTTAAGAGCCTGTTTTAAGAGTTGTACAATAACTCAATGTGCCTATGAGATCATGTATTTAAAAGATAGAAGCTAGCAGAGTTTTACGTATTTAACAAATGGAAAAGCTGGAGCAGATTACATTGAAGTGATCCACCTACTGAAGAGATAGGAAAAACTGTAAGTGGGAATTGTTGGGTTTGCCTATTCAAGAAGGGTTGAGAAACAGAGATAGGATTTGAGCAGTGTGATTTGTGTCATCCAAACACATTATCATGCTTAAACTTTACATTTAATTAACAGCGTCCTTAAAATAAACTGTAATTGCAGGTACCACGTACTATTCTTTGGAGAGTCTATCATGTTACTGCAAGGCTACAAATACATAACCAAAGGCTATTGCAAAAGAAGCTTGTGCTCTCTATGCCAGAGATACAATAAAGCAATACATGTACACAATACCTTCCCTTTTATCTCCCGCTTCAAAAGCCAAAAATTCAATCCTGTGGCAGAACTTTGAACAAATCTGTAAGTCTTACTGTCAGCCAAATGTTAACTGGCCCAAGTACAGAGTTCTGTATTGTTCTTGTAAGGATACTGCTATTTGTGTCTGTAATTTGGCAGCAGCACTACATACAAAGAATCTGGTTATATCAATGGAAACTTGAGTATTTTACTGTTTGTAAGAAATAACTTAATTCTGTATTTGCAAAGCATATTTGGAGCTTGTGGGAAACTTGATTTCTTTCACTCTTCTGTCAACCTAGTGAGCAGTATTAGAGAATGTCCCTAAAGAGGCATGTGTGCCTGTTGCTGTAGGAAGGAAACCAATTTTAGCTGTTTTAAAGATTAATATATCCGTAAGGAGAGATTGTGGTGGCGGTTAGGATTCCAGCTGATCAGTCTGGCGGGCTTATAAACAGATCCAAGCTACAGCAGAGGAAATTTTCCAAAGAATGCAGAAGGAAATATCTGCACGGCACAGAGAGAGTTATGAGGCATTTCTCGCTGCAGCCAAACTGTGAACATACTTAGGTCAAGTGCGGGGAGAAAGATCCATAGGATAAAGTGACCAGTCGGCATCACAATCTTGAAATGAAAGACTGTAGGAAGCATCGGCACGCTCCTGAAATGTTCTATAGTTTGTAAACATGCTTCCTTTGTTATTATTTGAAGGAGTTACTTATTGTCATACAGTTGATATTGTAGTAACATCTAGGGATTTTAACCAAGATAAGGGCATGAGTGGCAGGCACTCAGCAAGGTAAGATTAAGAGGTGGTGGAAGTGAAGGGTACAAATGGAAGATTTTTGTGTGATGAACTGGAAATTCTTTCCTCTTGGTAGTTTTTCTGGTATTTTGAGTGGGTAGATACTGTAAAGGATAAATAATGGGGGGGGGGGTGTGAACTAATGGAGACTAGAGGATGTGAAAGATAAACTGTAAGATGGGAGGGGAAAGGTGTGAGTAAAAGAGCAGAATTCTGTTTATTATGAATTTTAAGGGCTGTTTTTCCCCAGACGAACTCACCCAGATTTCCCTAGGCATGGTAAATGGCATATTGACCTAAAGTTCCTTTCTTTCCCTAGCAAATTATGAAGGATCGGTGGATGAATGTTGGCCATGAAGAAGAAGAACTAAAGCCATATACTGAACCTGAACCAGATTTTAATGACACTAAGAGAATAGGTAAGACTATTACAAGGATGTTGCATCTGATGTACACAGGCAGTTTTATCTTGTAGATCCCACTAAGCTCTTACCAAATTTGACATGCAATCTCATCCTACAAATAAAATGTTTTCTCTTTATTTAAATGAGAAATTTCATTACAATGCCCTCCTTATAACTACTGTTGTGACTTCATAGAGCTGGCATAAATCTACAAGCATAGTAAAAGACGAATAAGATTACAGAATTCATCATGCAGAAGGAAACGAGCAACAGTTTTTATCTGGCATGGTCAGAGAAAGATGCTATGTTGTTCCTATAGCTGTTTGTAGTTTCTATTTGCCAGTGTCGTCATTGAATAGCATTGAACTCTGTTGAATAACATAGTTGGGAGTTTTCAAGAGCATAACGATGAAAGGAGGAGAGTTGCAGTCTTTTTGATTTTGCTCAGCAAAGATGATGCTGGTTGAATGGAATCCCAGTTATATGTTAAATTATAAGGTGTTTTTTTTACTACTTTCATTGTTCTTCAGTTGTCAGGAAACTCAAGCACTTACTCTGGTAATGCATCTAGTTCTTCTTACTTTTAGACATAATGGTGACAATGGGCTTTTCAAGAGAAGAAATCCATGAATCTTTAGTAAACCAAAAGTATGATGAAGTCATGGCTACTTACCTACTTCTAGGTAGAAAACCACCTGAAGTAAGTGCTACTTAATTTATGTCTTCTCTCACCTTTATATCTGGTTGAATTGAATATTCTGGTGATTAATGTTTTACTGAACTACTTTGCAACATTTTCTGTTAAAAAAAATTGATAACTTGCTAATGTCTTCCCCTTTTCATATCTTCTTGGATATATTGTTAGTTCCCATATGAAGAAATAGACTGAATATAGTATCTTCACATTTGCTTGTAAATCTGTTGAATTGCTTTGTTAAAAAGCTAGCTGTTAATCTGAAGTGGCCTGACTTCTAAGTGCTCAATCTTCTTCCTGTCATGTGCATTTACAGTTAAAATCTGAAATAGTTAATTTCACTAGAGCAATCCTCAAACTTTTAAGATGTAACATTTATTTCTCAGAAATGCGTTCAGCCTTTCTCAGTTGTACTATTTTATAGTGTATTTTATTATATAATAAATAACTGCATGATGGCCATTAATATATTTGTGATAGGAAATATTTTGACTGTTTTGGAGCTAGAAGGATCTTTTAGGACCATAGGGATTTTCAAGAAATCAAATCAAGACCACGGCTTTCTTTTTGAAGGGAATTTTTTCCTGCTGCTTCATTAGCCTTCCTTCATTTCCAAGACTGTGTAGATCCGCTATGTGCATTGTTGAGTACGTTTTCCCACAGCATCTCTGAACCAGAATTCCCTTGTGATGGCAGAGCATGGAGGGAATATGTCTAGCATGATTTTGACTTAAACTACTTGGAAGAGGATATTTGTCTTTTCCACTGCTTGCTCTTACAACTTAGGCTTCTTAGATATCAACGAACCGGTGGCTGAATTATATGCCTTATAAAGATGTGTTAAAGGGCTGTAAGGAATCCTTGAATCAGTAGTACTTTCTTTTTTAGCCCTTCTGACTCACTCTGCATTTTGGAATTTTTCTGAAGTTAGAAATGCTTTTTAAGCTTAAAAAAAGAGTTGAGGGAGCCACTCTTTGGCTTAGGTTTTAAAATAGCACAGTTTTGTAACTGTGGAGTCTGCTAATTTTGTTTTCAGCATTCATTAACTTCTTAGCTTTAGCTGTGTTTTTAAAGCACATTACACAGAGTCGCAGAATGGTTGGGGTTGGAAGGGACCTCTGGAGATCAAGCAGTCTAACTCCCCTGCTAAAGCAGGTTTAACTGTTACACACACATGAAGTGATAAAATTCATTTTGAATAAAATTAAACTCTGGGTATAATTTTACCTCTTTGCTTCAAAATGCTCTGAAAGTACCAGCAATGTTGAATTTATGCTTTGAAAAACTTTTTCTTCTAGTTTGAAGGAGGTGAGTCCTTGACAAGCAGCAACTTGGGTCAAAGGTCTCGTCCTAGCAGTGACCTCAACAACAGTTCTGTGCAGTCTCCCGCTCACCTGAAGGTCCAGCGGAGTATATCAACTAACCAGAAACAACGGCGTTTCAGTGATCATGGTGGGGATGACATTCCAACAAGTAAAGTAACATACACAACTGAAGTCTGAATGTGCAGTGTTTTGTGAACCTGGCAGGTCCACCACTCTGTGCATTTGTTGTGTATCTCGTTGTGCTCCACTGTGATGCTTTTATTTGTATGAATGCTTCTGTCGTAATTCTGGGTCAGTGTCACTTAGAGAGTTAATGTTTTAAACTTGTTACTTGCTTTATTCACTAAATAAGAGCTTGAGGATGTTTTGTGTTTACGAAGTAATGGCAAAATATTGGTCTGGAATAGAGTCAAAAGCAGTAAACCATTATGTTTACCAGTGCATTTGAAGATGGGTTCAAATTGTTTCCAAGAGACAACAATTTTACCAATTATTAGGGAAATATTTTCTGGTGAAAGTGGTTACATCAAAAAGGAGTGCACATTTAAAACATTAACTAAAAAGGTGGTTTTTTTTGTTGTTTTTTTTTTTCCCCCTCACCCCCTGAGAGAGCTGTTAAATTACAGGAAATATTTTTAAAATGCTAAAAATGTCCCTTTTCTCTGCCTTAATTTACATTATTATTTCTATTTTTACCGTTTTCCCTCTGTGGTAGTTCGTTGTGATTACTTTTTGGGGGGAAAAAAAGGAAAATTGTGAGGATCATCAGCTAATGTGACTTTTATTTCAAGGGAATGTAAAATTCTACAGATGGAAATTTGCCTCAAAGCATTTTAAAGAATGGTAAGGGGGAAAGAATTGTAATTTTCCAACCATAAACATGCTTTTAAACAAAATAGTTCTAGGGTTTTCAGGGGAAAAGGAGCTTCCATGGTGTTTAAAGTTAGAATTAAAATATTCTTCTAGGTTTTACATCCTGATGTGAAATGGGAACTAATTCTGAACTGCAAAGAGAGTGTAGGTAAAAAACTTAACCTGGCAAACCTCAATTGAATAGGTTGATGTATGTGCTGAGTTTGCAGTCATAGTTGTTCAAATGCTTTTTTGGGCTCAGAGAATTGTATCTGGACTATTTTGGCCAGGAAAAATGCAATGATTATTTTTAGGTATTTATTAATTCTGGTTTTATTTGGCAGTTGGTCCCTCAATTCCTCCTGCTGTGTCATACACGAAAAGGGCTCAGGCAAATAGTGTGGAAAGCGAACAGAAGGAAGACTGGGACAAGGATGTCTCACGCAAACTTAGCAGCACTACAGTGGGATCCAAAGGAGAAATGGCTGCAAGTCCACTTGTGGGTCCAGAAAGAAAGAAATCCACCATTCCCAGTGTGAGTGTGCTTTTGCCTGGTTATATTTGTTTTTCCCTATTTAAACAAAATCCGCAGCATAAGGTTACTATAGACGTAATGGTTACTGAATAAGCCACTAAGTCTATTTCTGGTAACTTTTGCTGGCAGACAGAAATAGACAGGCTTCAGTGGATGCCTTTAACATAAACTTTTCCCTTCCCCCACAACTTTACTTTTTCTAACACTAACATAAGAGTAAGCACTAGGATGCCTGCACTTGGGCAAACTGAAGATCTGTCAAGACAAATAGTGGATATTTAGGGAAAGAACATAAGAACAGTGCCAATATGGAGTGCTCTGTTGCTGGTTTCTAATTCTTGTGTATCTACAAGGAAGCCAGGGGACTTCCTGAATCAGAGATTTCATCTGAATAATCCTGTGTAATATCCCTCATAAGTGTTTTCCCTGTGACTTTGCTTAGTTTTCTGAAACCACCGCTCTTTGGACTTCACAAATAAGGTGGAGGGGAGGGGAACAACCTACTTTTCCCCTGGTGTGTGTGCCTGTTGATGTTACGAATTACAACCTGTTTCTTGTCATAAGAAATGATTTATTTTCTAGTTCTTCTGTTACAACGTCCTTCACAGTTTTGTAAACTAGTATCATGTTACTGCCTTAGACATCTTTGTTCCAAATAGGAGAGTCTGCCTCTCCTAATGTGAAAGCATCTACTTTGTGGAAGTTCATGGGCAGTAGTATCAGTGTTTAGGCTATACAATGGAAAAATGTTGTGTAATGTTTAATCAGCTACTTAGGAGCAAGAGTTCATGTGGGGAAAAAAGGAATTGTAAATTAAGATTCAAGTACACTTTATGCTATTTAGGAGGCACACTGTATTAAATACAAAAATTCTGGCCACCTTTTAGCACAGGCAGCAAGAATTGCCGTTGTCCTTTGGGATTCTACATGCTGGCTCCCATCTTGGATACTCTGGGGAGGTTAGATGCATTTCTGCAGGAATTTTCTTTAAACAAAATAGATGCTGAAGTTCATGTTAACTCTTGCTGTTCTACAGGCTGTGTCTGCAGGCACTTTAAACATTTCTTTCAAATTTAAAATAAATTGTTTATCCCCACAAAGAGTCTTTGAAATTAGGGCTGTGTGGATTATATGCAGGAACTTTGTGACTTCTAAGATTAGATTTCATATCTGAGCCTTCCCAAAACTATATTGCCCCAGAGCTGATTACAGTCACGTATGGTACAAGCTGATGTATCAAAAGCATTTCTCTGCTTTCTGAGAACTAATTAAATGGAATATCTTTGCTATTCAGAATAAGAAACTGATTTACTTGCTAATGGCAACTTCAGTATTTGTGTTTTGAGGACTTAGAGGCTTTGTGATGGGCAAGATTAAGGAATAGTGGTGTCTGATATTGCAGCAGTAGTTAAAGTTGAGCAGCTTACAAAAAAATCTAAGTTTGGTTTTTAAAACTCGTGTTTATAGTGAACAAAGCAAATTTAATATGGATAATTTTAAAATACTTCTGTGTAACTTTAAGGGTGATGTTAGGGAAGGTAGGATTTCTTATAAACAAGTTTGTCACCTCCAGTCATACTTGTCTAGCTTGCAAGAGTTTAATTCGAAAACCAGGTAAGTGCAGTTGTTAATCTTCCTTACACATTGGCCTTGAAACAGTTTATTCAGTAGTCTCTGGGGGGGTGATACTAATGCTGCAAATCTGTAGAAGAGGGAGACCTAAACACACAGTAAATCTTGCAGAGGTCATGATGCCCTACAGTTCCCAAATTTAGAGTATTTGAAATCTTGCCAGCGTGTATTGGTATGTTAGGTTAGTACTTTGAAAACCTCTTTCACCCCAAATTCAATATGTACTGTATTAAAAACAGAATTGTCCATCGTGTACTGCAAGTAAGCCTTCAGCAGCTAATCTGTGCATGACAGGGGAGGAGGAGAACATTGGTATTCTATGAAGTATGTGCAAACTGAAATCAGTAACAAGGAAAGTTCCATCAGTATTTTTTATTCTGTTTATTTAGTTTTATTTTTATTGTTGCTACAAGACACATCTGGCGTTATCTGCATAATAATTTCTGGGTTGGCAGACACAGATTAAGAATGTTTTCTTTTTGTTCTCTTGAAACCTCTTTTGACAGAAGGCAAGTAACTGTAAGGCTGGAGCCTTAGCAACTTAATCTCCACAGGGAAGCCTTTCAACCAGCCAGATAGATGTGTTCTCTAGGATTCCAGTTTGTTCCTTTGGTCCCAGAGACAAATAACTTAGTAAGACAGTATGTGGGAATTGGATAATAATACTTAGGAAAGCAAATGTCAGCAAATTTGAGTTTCTCTATGTTTTATTTTAGTGTACTCTCAATGGTACAGTAAAGTGATGGTGAATAAGCTATTAGAAAAGATAGCTGATATAAATTATTTGTTTCAATACATTAGGCTAGTACATTTGAAGACATTAAGAATATACATAAAGGGATGAAACTGGTTTTATTTGTTTCCAATTCTGGCATTTCTGTACAACACAATATACAGTAGAAGAAGGTATTTAGTTTAATTTTTGTCTCAATTTTCTTCTAGAATAATGTATTTTCTGGTAGTGGAATGACAAGGAGGAACACTTACGTTTGTGAACGTTCTTCAGATCGCTATTCTGCAATACAGAATGGGAAGGACAACAGGTATTCTTCAACTTTTATTACTTACTAATTTGGGTACAAAAGCTGAGGCACAGAGAAGCAGGTTATGCAATTAGTGAATACCATTATGAAGCATGGTGTGAAATACATGAAGTCCGATTGTATCTTTTCATCTTGTCTTCCACCACAATTTCTATGTTTGTAATGAAATTTATAACTAAATATGTAGATTTGCCTTTGTCTCTTTTTATGGATCCACATTTATTACCAATGGTTGTCTTGCAACAGTGAGTAAAGTAACTGCTTACAACCAAATAGACAACTCTGTTATGGAGAACTTTGTTGGATCACCCCAACAGTGGAGCCTAATCCCTTTCCATTTCTTCTAGTAATCAAAATTGTTAAGACTTGTCAATTCTATATGGTACAATTTTTTGGCCTAAAATAATATTTTAGTAGAGATGGTAACCAAGTTGTATGTGTTTTTGGGATGATAATTACACTGTTTATATGTTTTGTTAAATATTATTGTATTTAACACTGCCACAATTACTGGGGGTTTTGAGATACATCCTTTGTTCATCCTTGGTGTTAGTTTAACCCTGTACCTGACTGCAAAATAAACATTGGCTTTACTGGGGAGTAATGCAAACTGGATATTTTTTAGTTTAAAGCATTAAGTCTTACTCTGATTTTATTTTGGTGTTAGCTACTTAAATAACAAAGGGTAAAATGAATCAGAAAATCCCTAGCATGAAATAACACCATCTAGTAAATTAGTTTAGTTTTATTTTCTGTTTTGGTGTCTGAATTTTTTAATTATGCATTTAATTTTGAAAATAGCAAGAGTATAGGGCTGTTGAACTATAGTAAAATGAGCTATGGAACACGTGAAGTACAGCTATTCCGAGTGCTATAAGGAGGTACATTAAAAAGACTGATTTTCAGTATTTAATTAATTTCAAATTATTAGGTGCTCTCAAAAGCATCTTTCCAAATTTTTGACTATAGATAAAAATATTTGAACAAAGTTTGCAACAGTTTTTTTTTTTTAAAGAAATAAGAATTTTTTTTTTAGGATTAAAATTTATACTTAAGTAATTTTTCTGATCTCACAAAAATGAATACAGGTTTTCCTGCAATAGATTTAATACCAAAAACATAATGAGAAGGGATTTTATTTCAAAAGTTTCTCATTTTTTAAATTTATATTTAATTTTTTTTCTATAGCATTGAAAAGACAACTCTTAATCCCTGTTCCTTTCATAAGTGCAATGAGTATGTTCTGCTTTTTGAGCATATTCTGAAAAATGAGGGATTTTTGAGTTGTATACTCACCTTTCCTGTAATACATTGTGATTGTATTTGGTATAGCTGAAAATCTTGTGTAATTGGCTTACTCACACTAAATCTTTACCTCTTTGCTACAGATATTATTTAGCTTTGGGACTGTTGTTGCTAATACATTATTAATGCAATTTTTTTTATGCTTGTGGAGACAAAGCTGTAGTTTGACTTCTGTATTAAAAAGTCATTTGACTTTTATATTAAAAATTAATAAGATGATAGTTTTACTGCTACTTTCATCTCTTCCTTGCCACTTAGGCAAAGCAGGGTAGAGAGAACTGTGTTTTGGCTCATCCTAGCAGTGGTTGAGATGGTCCAGAGGAGAAGTACAACTTGATCCTTTGAAAATAGACTTGCTACCAAGTGATAATGTGACAGCAGTTCCAAATGTTTCAAGTTCTAGGTGTTTGAGTTTTAACTGAAAATAAGGGTATTCATTTCACAAAAGGAGACTCTATTTAATCAATCTATTTAAGGCTTTTGCAAATTTCTTTTTCAGTTTTTTTTTACTATTTCCATGTACCTTTGTGGTATTTCTTCATTACTTTGAATAATGTGTGTGTAACCTTTAATCTTGGGAGGAGTGAAAAGGCCTGATTTAACATATATGGTGATGTGATTTATGGATGAACATAATTTTCTCATAATTCTGTATTCTTTCCTTAAGCTGAATATGGCAGCTGGGTCACTCAGTCTTCCGGTTTTTTAAATGGCACTAAAAGAAGAAATTAATTGTTATTTTCCCTGTTTGCTATGGTGTTATACTCTAACCTTTCTTTTCCCTTTTCATTTGTCCTTCCCTCCTGCCTTGCTGCCGTGGTAAAAGCCTAACAGAAATGTCTGCGAGTAGCACGTCTTCCGCAGGCTCTGCAGTAGCTTCTGCTGTATCAACACGGCCTCGGCATCAAAAGTCTATGTCTGCCTCTGGTCATCCTATAAAAGTTACACTGCCAACCATCAAAGACGGCACTGAAGCTTACAGACCAAGGTAATAAATTGATTACTATTTCTTTAATGCTGTGCACTTCAAAAATTTCTTGTTTAGTCCATGATCTGCTTTGATTGCAGTCTATTCAAAACTGTCATTTTGCATTCTGTCTCAAAACACCAGGTTACTCAAGTAGTGTGGGCATTACAGACAATTTAAGCCTGATTTTGTTCATAACATGTTTGCATATTGTTAAAAAAGTCCCTTGACTGCCTCCCTCTGGATGCTTCTGGAAAACTTAAGTAGTTAAACATTTAACTAATTTAGACAGGACTGTACAACACAGGCCACCATAAAGTCATGTGAGACACTGAAATGTTAACCTTTGGGTTTTGTAGATTGCTAGGCTCATTTCTGTCTTAAAAGCACTGTAGTATAGTTACTGTTAATTGCCCAAATAGCTTTATGTATTTATTTGTGCCAGATTACTTCTTAAGAAGTATCTGTTAAGCTTTTGGAGTGCTTGTGTGTTAAAGGTTTTGATGAACATAGTTTTCAGGAAGAGGACTAGGAACATTCAGATGTTACTACAGAGTTTTCTACCTTTTCCCTTTGTCTTATTATCTGTATGTATTTTTTAACTGCTCTTAATACTTGAGACAGTTTGATTTTACAATGAATATGTATCTTGATTATTTCTAAGTATGAATCATAAAGGGAAATAAGTAGTAGAATCAGGCTTAAAGAAAAAGGAATCAAGAGCAGGATTTTTTTTCCTGTCTTTGAGAAATGGTTGTCATGTAGGAGGGTTTCTAGCACAGTCTTTCTCTTTATTTATGTTTCTGTTTTCCCAGCAGTGCAACTCAAAGAGTGCCTGCTGCTTCCCCGTCTGCTCATAGTATTAGCACTACCACTCCAGACCGAACCCGCTTTCCTCGGGGGAGTTCAAGTCGAAGCACTTTCCATGGTGAGCAGCTAAGGGAGCGGCGTAATGCCACTTACAATGGACCGCCTGCCTCACCATCACATGAAACCGGTGCTTTTGCACATGCTAGAAGAGGGACATCAACTGGTATTATAAGCAAGATAACTTCCAAGTTTGTTCGCAGGTTAGTACCTCGATTTTTAAGAGAAAAAAAGGAAAGTTCAGCTTATATAGGGCCATATTTGCAAAGTCATTGAAAATGTCCAGTTTAAGTCTGAAGTAGATGTACATTTAGTCAGAATGCTGCTTGGTTACATTTAGTCAGAATGCTGCTTGGTTTGTATGTCCCTTTCAGAACCTGCCTTGTTTTACTTCTCTGTGTGTATTGTAACTGTTATGTTTGACCAGTTATTCTGCTGCTTTATCTGAAAGGAGCAAAAGAATGCTTCTCAAAAGCATTTTTACTCATGCTTTACAGCTAAAATACAGAGATGCTACAATTAAGTTAAAATGAAATGAACTTAAATACTGAAAGCAGTGACTTAAAAATGAGTCATTATTTAATAACAATATTTTAACTGGATGCACTTTGTTGCAAGGGCTGTATTTACAAGTGTTTCATTGCCATGCTTAGAGGGAAGAGGTATTAACAAATTATTTCAGGGACTTCTAAAATACATGAGTAGATGAGAAGTGTAGAAGTGGGCAGAAGTCTGGATGTCTGGAAATACTAATATTTCAGTATCATGCAGCCTCTCATATCATGTTACCAGCTTCTTCAAAAGCAAGTTCAGGATTCTGAAAGAAGAAAACCCACACACCCTGGACCTGCGGTCATTCCCGTGATGATGCTAACAGTAATAATATTGTAAGAAGTGCTGGGAAGGATTTTCAAATACATAGTTTAATATTAAGTGACTATTGACTTCGCAGTCCCAATAGCTTTTCCAAAATGGGATTTAATTTTCAGTTTGCCCCTATCTAACAGTGATTTACTTATAATTCTTAAGCCTACTTATGGATGTATCCATATGCATTATTGTCAGTTTTACAACAGAACTATGTCTTGTAAACCTCGCTTTTCTTTGCAGAATTATGCTGTTATGTAATGAATTGTCATTTGTCTGTGTGTGTATATATATAATATATAGATATAAAAATTCAAACCTAGGTTAAGATAGTAGCAAATCTGTAAGTAAAATATGAGTTGCATAAGATGATACTATAAGGGAAGAGAGAAAGCTAGAAATTCAGTGTTTTCCTTATAAAATGGATTTAACCTGGTGAGCACCTAGTGCCTCACTGTATGTTTAAGCAATACCTCTTATGATGAACTAAAAAGAAAAACAAAAAAAAAGTATGTGAATTATTTTCTTTTTTCAGAAACCTGAAGATACAGGACTATGATCCTCCATTATTGGTATCTCCAGCACTTTACGGGGTGGGGGGGAAGAATTTGTTCTGCAGTTTAAAACAAGAAACAAAAGTTACAGCAAAATTAGTCTCTTGTGTTGTCAGGGTACATTTCTTAATGGGGAAAAAAAGGTATTTTCTGTTACTTACCTAACCAATTTCAAGAGCACAGGCTGGTTTTCTGCACTGCAGCTCATTGCTATTTGCAAGGAATGGTATCTTGAATTGTTTTGATGAGTCAGATCAAAGAATATTTTCATTATGTTATACTGCAATGTTAGAATAATACTGTAAACTGTGTATTTAGAATTAACATTGTAAATTGATGTCTTAAAGTTATCTTTACTAGAGAACATTTTATACAATTTCCTGTTATGCCTTATACAGCTAAAAATGTGTTTTCCTATAATGAAGGCCTTATAAGGGCTTTGGGTGGTTTGTTGCTGGTGGTGGTGGAGGGTTTGGTGTTTTGTTGTGGTTTTGTTTCTGTAAACTGGGGGTTGTTTGAGACTTTGGGTGGAGGTTTGGGGGTTGCTGTTCTTTAGCTGGATCACGTAACTGCATGCCTGTTAACTTGTGTGCTGCTCAGTAAATAATGGTTTAAAGCATACTTTGAATAGAAGGTGTCATGAAAGACTTTTATTATCTTTTGGCAAAGGTTAAATGCCTTTTCTGGTAAGTATATAAAACAAATCCGTAATGAGAATGCTTAACGAATAGGGTATTGATGTATTTTGCATCAATGGTTTATGTCAAATGATGCTTCTCTGATGTTATTTACTAAAGTATTTGTGTTTTGAAGATATTATAAATTAGTAGCTGAAATTGTGTGCTAAAATGTTTGTACAGCAGCACTAGGAACATACCTAGGTGGCTTACACACTGTTTTTCAAGTTGATTCAGACTAAAAGGGCATAATACAGAACAGTTCCTTTTTACAGTTATAATTCACCAAAATGAGGAAAAAAAAAATACATGTTTAACCTCTAGCTCACCAGTAATCTTGCCAAAGCCAGTGTAACAGCTGATTTGCTTAAAGATAAGCAGGTGTTGAAGTAAGCTTTCTCAACTGGGCTCCAAACATTTGATCTCACAAACTCCTAGGCACGTCTTACCTTTAATAATTTGAGTGTGCCTAAGCAAGAGCACCTCCCTGTGCTCTCCGGACTGAGCTGTAAAGGCTTGGCCAGAAGGGTGCAGAGTGGAGCACCCCCCTCCCCCAGACCGCCTTGATCCTGTGTGCTTGCTGGATTTACATGTGGCCATTGCCCTCTGTCTGCAGTAGGTTAAGAATAACGTGTTGATATTACCATCAATTTAAAAAACAGATAAATAAACCATTATGTGTTAGAGCTGCAAGAAGTGAAGGTGTCATAAAGGGAAGTTAAATTTACAGCTGTGGGAAAAATACTATTAAACAGTGTTAGGCTTGACATAATTATACTGATTTTTCTCTTTTTTCGATCAGTGGCTATTTAACATTGTTCTAGATGTAGGTTTTCTTAACTTTTATTTTTCACCTTTATCATTGAATCTCAACCTTAACTTTGTTTTGAGGGATCCAAGTGAAGGCGAAGCCAGTGGCAGAACTGACACCTCAAGGTGAGGAGCCACTATTAATACTTCGCTCCTAGGTCTTTCGCATCAAGGTTTAAGTGGTTTCTTCAAGAGTTAATCAGGATGTAAAATAGAATAGTATTTAATTAATCTGCATTTCAAAAATGGTTTTTATTTGTGGGGGGAGGGGCTTTGGTGAGGGCCTTTATCCCTTGCGAAGTATTTGATATAAAAGTTTTATTTAAGTATATTCCCATGAACAATAAAGCCCCCTGTAGGAGCTGACCAATTATTTAGGCACTTAAAATCATGTTTTGGCTTATAAATATTTAATGGTGTTTACTTTTGGTTTCAGTAGAAAATATAGTATACTTTGTGTCTGTGTGTGTGTATATATTTAATATCGCATTTTTACTATAGTTGCTTACTGCATTCATTATTAAAGCTGCTGTTAACCAGAAGTAAACACCTTTAGTCCCTGTGAAATGAATGTCACTTCACATTGAGAAATAAGTGACATTCAGAGACAAAAAGGGTGGTGACTGCTAAGTACTGAATTTGTATGGCAACCACTGTACACAAATCTGTATCTGCTGTCTTAGTACTAAAGCATTCCTTCATATGCTCATTTTCCAGTATATCTGCTCTTTTGCCATATCTCAGCATTTGGTTCTGCATTTTTGGTGTGCTTAGCACAATGCTTAACACTTTATTTTGATGCTCTCTAATGAACAGGCATTGTAGTTTGCATCCTAAACTGGTCACTTATGGAAAGTGTCGGCTTAGATGTCAAAACAGAAAGCCTTTATTTAAACAACAAAAAAAGGCAGCACGTTTTTAACAGGATTCATTGTTTAATACACAATACATTTTATTTACGTTAGCCCTTTTCAATTCAAAGTTTATTAGCTGTCAAATTCTTGATGTGGAAAGGGAAAAAAGAGATTAATCAACTGTTCAAATGAAGTGTGAAATTGCTTTCAGCTCTTGCTTTCATTCTCCAGCTTCCTCTACTTTTTGTCATCCTACAGTGTCTGTTTTGGGCTAAAAGTCTTTGAGATCTTCTCCCTGCCATGCTCTGTCGCTTAACACTGATGTGGCTTCTTGGGGATCACACTGAAAGTCAAATTAAAAATGCTTGTTTTGACTCCTCTCTGAATAGTGACAGTTTGTAGACTGTCAAAATGAGAACAGCACCTTTCCCCAGTGATGGATGGGGGGCATCAGGCATCTGAAGTAGCTGGAACAAGAATAGAAACAGTTGGCTGTTACTTTTAAATAATGAGTGCTGTTTCTCCAAATGCTTTCTGCAATTGAATAAATAAAAGAAGCATCAGAGCAAGAACCTTGGTTGGAAATTAATCCTTTGAAATTTTGTCCATGTCATTGTGTCAACAAAATTACTTTGTTTCTATATGTCACTGTTTCTTCCATGAAAAAGCCACAGGCTGTGTCCTTAACTGCTTGACAAGCAAGCTGTTTACAACCAAATTACAGCAAAAAAATTTTGCTTAATCTGTTAAAATAAAGCACATTGTTATATTTTTACAGAGAGAGAGGTCAAAAATACATAATAAATGCAAAAAGGAGGGAAAGGAAGAAAAGAGGGGAGGGAATTAACTGAACTCTTGTGAATCACAGGGTGGGATTTCTTCCTCTGCTGCTTTTACAGTATGATTTCTGCTTCAGGATTGTCTCTCTCAACTTCAGTTCTGTCGGTGTATGGCATGCTCCAGATCATGAAATCAGCAGAACTTCAGTCATGCTTTTACATAGATTCCACTTTCTTTGGAGCAGTCTGGAGTAACGTGTGTCCGCTGCAGTTACCATTGCACATGTCATCAGAACGTTTTAGAGCAGGGGTTTTCAAACTTGCTTTGCTTGTGTGCCACCACTGGGAGCTGCTTCAGTACTGGCAGCAGCTCCCAGTGCTGCTCTGCAGCACACGTGCATGCAGATGGTGCACGACTGTTCCAGCAGCGTCCTGTCCATCAAAACCTTTGAATTGGCTTCTGTGTGACTGTGTGGCAATGGCAGTTTAGAAACCCCTGCTCAAGAACTGTATTTCTCTTCTATCTTTTGGTTCTACGGCTTTTATTCTTGACTGTTCTGTATGTCACTTCTTCCAGGAGTGCTTCTGGGGAGCCAAAAGACAGAGAGAAGGAGGATAGCAAGGATTCCAAGCCACGTTCCTTGCGGTTCACGTGGAGTATGAAGACCACTAGTTCTATGGACCCTAATGATATGATGAGAGAGATTCGGAAAGTGTTAGATGCTAATAACTGTGATTACGAACAAAAAGAGAGGTTTTTGCTCTTCTGTGTTCACGGTGATGCACGACAAGATAGCCTTGTTCAGTGGGAGATGGAAGTCTGCAAACTGCCGCGGTTGTCGCTCAATGGAGTTCGCTTCAAAAGAATATCTGGGACTTCTATCGCATTTAAGAACATTGCATCCAAGATAGCGAACGAGCTTAAGCTGTAAAGAGAACCTAAATTTTTTGGGATCAGGGAAGATTCATACATGATCTACACTTTGAATGTACTGGTTACGCCTAACGTGATTGGCCTGTGAAACTCCCCATGTAGAAATTGCCCTTATTGCAATAAGGTTATACATAGTTATTCAGAATTGTAAAGTTAAATCCAGTATGACCTATATTAAATAACTGTAGCTAAAGAAGTTATGTTCACATGTACAGGTAAGTATATAGAGCATTCTGTTCATTTTATGTTCATAGAGTTGTATAATAAAAAGATGACTGCTTAAATTCAGATCTTGTATAGTTGTCTAGATTTCTGCACAGAAATATATGTTTGATGCTTTGAGTTGGAAAAATTCTTCCCTATCATTTACATTTTTGGTGGTTTTTATAAGTCTTATCTCTGTCATGCGTTTTTTAAACAACTTCTCTCCTGAGTCAGATGCACAAAAATAGTTTTGACAACTGTAGCATGACCATTTTTAATTATTTAAAGATTGTTCATAATGTGAACCGAAAGCTGATGAATAACCAGCTTTTGTTCTACACTAGACTGTTCCTGCTTATCTTAGGCTCTTATTGCCCTTGTTATCGGGTGGTGTTTAGTTGAAAAACAAACAAAATACAAACATGTTTACAGTGTTGGCACTTACAGTTAAAATCCTTTGTTCTGCCTTGGGCCAGCTCAGAATTGTGAGGGAACAGAAACCAAGTGTAAGTGATGTTCTGTCTGTAAGTTACAGTGCTTACTCCCATGTCCCATCAACCAATGTAGCACCACAATGGAGAACCATAATGATTTATTTGACTCTCATGGTGTAAAGTATCACTTGTTTTTTGCTGCCTTCAGAATACTATAAATTCCATTTTATGGAAATATGTTAATATTGGGACTGTTTAATAGCACAAGATAATCTGAAGTGTTGACCAATTTTTTCAGTTAGTAATACCACCTCAGGAATTAGCTTGGCTTTTGGAACATGTGCCCCCCCCCCCAAAGAGTACATGCAATTCCACAGGATATTTTACAGCTAAACATACATTGTTTATAATGGTAAATTGTTGATTTATGCTTTTGTGGTTGTACAGTTTGTTCCCATGTAACCTGTTTGTGTTTAATATTTTACCAGATTTCTTGTATTTATTCCACATCATTATGCCTGTAATGTGCAGCTTTGTAATTAGGCACTTGCCTATGGAAAAGAAGAAAAAAAAGACAACCCCACACATTTTTTTCCTTCATAATTAATGATTATAAACTATGTAAAACCACTAGTACTGGTACATTTTAATACTTGTTATTTTGTACTGAATTAACCATAGAGGTTGGTTGTGCAATGTTATTTAATGTCGTAATTACTGTAATATCAAGGTAAGGGCCCCATCTGCACACTCTTGTGAAGAATAGAAAGTTCATTAAGAAACTGTCACTTTAAAATAATAAAAACTAAAAAAAAAAAAAATTAAATAAAAAAACCCTCTGTGGTAAACTCTGTAACCCTAAGTTAGAAGGCTGTAAGTGTAGTAAATGTGCCATTCTCTAATGGCTTCTTGACCGAGATGGACTTTACATGCTGTACTGTGATGTAGCTTTCCTATGTAACAGTTATGTTCTGAAATGGACGTGTATTGTTGCCTTAGAAAAAGGGTGGTGTTTGGAAAGAAAGAACTGTAGCCCCTTTTCTTTTTTTTTTTTTTTTATCTGATGTTCATTGAAACAAAATCTGATGCAAGTCATCTTGATTCACTGGTGCACTCTATTAAAACTTACTTGAACAGTTCTCATACTAAACTACTTGTTGGTTGCCCTTTATAAAAGCACAGTGATTAGTGCAGGGAGCAAAATAGGCTCATGGGGTACAGGCTTCATCTTCAACACTGAATTCAGGATTAGTGATGCATTGGTTCTGGGGTCCTGCAGTGTGGTTTAGTACCTCTCAGTGGGGAAGGCAGGGTAAGGGGTCTGTGAATCATAGAACTATAGAATGGTTTGGGTTGGAGAGGACCTTAAGATCATCCAACTCCAACCCTCTGCCATGGGCAGGGATGCTTTGCACTAAACCATGTCATCCAATACTCTATCCCATGTTCAATTATCTTTGAAAATACACCACTATTAACCCAAGATCGTGTATAAACTTAGTTCTGAAACAAAACCCTTTGCCTTTTCAGAAGGTTCAGTGAAAAAAATATAGGTCATGCTGTGAGAGGGTAGATTAAGGGCTCAGGATGGCTTCCTGAGCTGTGGTTTTACCCAGCTGACTCTGCCCTACATTGGCGCTGAGTTTCAGTACTTCATGTAACCAGAGATGTGTTCATATTCCCCGAAACACATGTACCATTTCCAGAGGATGGAGACTGTGTTTCAGTTCAGCGCTCATATGAAACGTGATACCTAAAGTGCCAGTTTAATGGCATTATTTCCAGTAATGGTCAACTGTGTGAACTTCCCTGATTCCCCAGCCCTGCTGCTCTTCTGCCTTCCATTGCTGGAAGACAAGCTCTGACCCGCCTTATGCTCTCT